GGGGGGAGGAGCCACCTTTTCAAATGAGAACAAATGCTTTAAAAATTAGCCATATGAACGGAAGAATGGACTAGATGTCCATGTGTGTCGGATGGCCTGACATGCAACGTTAGATATTGTGCAGAAAATAAAACTCATAAAAAGGCATTTACATCCTTCTGATGTAAAATTTCCCTTTGATGCCAGATAACTTATCAAAGTCAAAATCAAATGTTAGTAAACTTGCAAGAAAATCCCCTTCCAGACAATTCCAGATTACAGCTGAAAAAAGTATAATATTAAGGAGTTTAGTATTCAAATTTAAGTCATATTGACAATTTTAGAAACATTTCTTTCCCAAGGAATAGAAAGAGACAGAGGTATGCCATCACACACTCTCACAGTGCTGACCACTCTCAACAGTGGTCTGAAGCTGGCTGAAGAGGAAAAACACAACGTGCACCTCCTTACAATTATGTAGCAAACATTTCCCAGGCATGCCTGAGAGTCCTAAAAAGGTATTGTTCTCCCCTGACACACAGTGCTAACAGGACCACCCAAAGGAGCAAGGCAACTGTCCTTCCCCAGTGCCTAAAGTATGCAAGAAAACATTCAGAAACACTATGTTCAATCCCAAAATTCAAGTATTTTTGGAAATGAAAGAGATCTATGCACCACTTCAAGACAGAAAAATAATCTTGTATGTAACTGCACTGAACAATGCCTTCATACATTTAGAGACACTTTTACTAACGTCTTAACTATCCCAATAAAGTGGTGCTAGAAAACAGAATTTGTAATACTTCAGAGCACCAAGGAGGCTTTATTTATGCCTCTAAATAAGCAGTAAGTAGATGTTCTTTGAATAAAGACCCTAGCATTAGCAGCATCTTTTGACAACGCTTTTACAACCAAGGTGCACTGCTAACAGTTTAATGGTAAACAGTAAAACCAAAAAAAGTGCAATTGCAAAACAAGGGTGCACCTGGGAAGCCACAATTTTTTTTTACTGACAGCTTATCGTATTTATCACATGGAAGGTAGCCTGACAAGGCAATTAATTAGTGTAGCTCAATATTTTAGTTCATGTGCTGAATTAATACTGTTAGGTAAAAAAAAAAGGACAAGCTTTTCCTACTACAAGATTACTAGGAACTGTTCCAATGTGTTACAGAACAAACCTTTTCTACTAAGGATGTCATAACACCCTGACATCAAAGTCTACCTAAGTTTGCTTCAATGACAAACTAATTACTTACTGAAAAGACACCAATTCTTAAAGCTGTCATCCAACCCCATAACATTTCACTCCAGAGAAATGTTATCAGGATAGGGAATAGAGAAGCATAAACAAAACAAAAAAAATTAGCAAAAGTCTGACATTTACTCAGCCAGCACAAAAGACTTCACTAAGAAGGGAAAGTTTGTCCAACAGGGAGGTCCTACACCAAACACACCTCAACCAGACAAGAGAAGAAAGCCTTTATATTAGGATATAGCCAGGAACTATAAAATAAACCCTTTCAAGAGCATCAAAATACCATTTTGGACCACAGGGATTGTCATATTTGCCTTGTCATTATTGGTCTTTGCTTGAAACTTTAATATACCTCTTCTACCCATGAGAAACAGATTTTTGTATGTCAAACATTTGTTATTCTCCCTTGTTTTTATTCATATTTCAGTTCACTTTTTTAGGACTTTTTTTTTTTTTTTTTTTAAGACTACTATAAAAATTTAAAACTGAAAGCACTATCTTTTAGATACCAGGTATCTATTTCTTTCCTCCTAAGAATGAGTTTATAATACCCTGGCTTTAGGACCAAATGCAGGACACTTATAGACTAGTCTGACATTTCCTACTCTGATTAAAGCAAACAGCTCTTACCTACCTCTTGGCTGATGCAGGAGATTTGGCCACGATCACAGCATTCCTGTAATCTGGAATCTGAAGCAAACCATTGGTATTAACATCTTATCCTTTAAGTATATTTATATTCATTAAGAATTAATTCCTTATATTTGTTCCAGAATAATTTTAAAAGCAATATTCCTTCCCAAGGTTCTTCATTCGGAACTCCTCTCCCCGCAATATCGTTTAAAACTTGACTTGCATCCCTTCAACATGTGAACTAGGTGATCTTCCTCTTCCAGAATACTTGTGCACTGACAGCACAGGGGAGAAAGTCTCCCTGATCTCAGTTCAAGTGCCCAGATCTGACAACCTGGAGGTGTAATCGCAGGTCAAGTCCTGCTCAGCCCCAGCTAGAGCATGCCCAGTGCTGGTTCACCCTTTTAAGAAATCTCTACTGAGCAGGTACAAACTGAGATTTCAAAGACCTATAACTTGGCTAAGTTTGGGCAAATTTTCATAGGGATGGAATCAAGTCACAGCACAAGAATCAGCTGCCCCTAGAAAGTTTTCATCCCTTGATCCAAAAAAATGAGAAGCGCAGCCTAGTTCTTTGGAATGACTGCGCTATTTGGACTGACGCATTCCAAAAACATTCAGGCTGAATCAGACACCCGAGATGTATTGGGTTCCTCCTGGTCAGCATCACTTGATAAGCTTATGTACATAAACACGAGTATTTGGACCGGCTAGCAAATCTCCCACCAGGTCATTTTACTTTACTGCCAGTCACTTCATGAAACAGCAAAAGAAGAGGTAAAGAAAGTCCAAACGAGGAAAACCCCTTTTAAAAGATTTCCCTCCCCTACACCTCAGAGGAGTTTGCCGACTTCTGTTCATCTGTACATTGGATCAGCAGTGACAGTGCCAACCTCAAATATGCCACAATTCTCTTAGTTCTTCTAAGTGCAGTCCATTTTATTCATCCATGTTATTCACTTGTTAACTATTTGCCAAAAGGAGCTTTGCTCTGGTGATCCTCAGCAACCATTAGTCCAAGTAACACTTTTCTCTTATAGCTACTCTTTTATATTTTTTTGCAGTGTGCAGCCCAAACAGTATTGATCATCTCTTGGTGGCCAAAGCAAGACTCACATGATGCAATGTTTTTACTTTCCAGCTCTCAACCAGACAGCATTTTCTATCAGACATACATAACTAGTTACTGTCTGAAAGACTGCCATAAAAATAACCAAGTGTTTTAAGGACACCATAGGAAAGGGGGATTACAGAATCTTGGTACAAGAAAGCTATACTTCTATCAAATCATTTCAACTGCAGTATATTCCACGCAGACAAGGATCTTTGAGGGTAGGAACTATTTGCATTCTTCTAAAGTTTCAGGCATTTGCCACCAGCAGAAGTAGGCCATTTTAAGTAATTTCTGCTTTTAACACCTCTTATCACAAATCATTTTATAAAAAATAATCTTCCAATTCATAGATGATCAAATGGGTAAATCAAAATGAAACTTCTTAAGACTCTTCTTAACATACTCTACAGATGGGAAAAGTAACAGATCAAGGTTTGACTACCAGCCACTTGTTCTCACGATTAAACCATGCTACTTCATTGACCAATGATCTATTAGTGTAATTAGCATCCTTAAATAGCAGGCACAGTACTTGCCTCATTTCTACTCTCATGAAAAGCCCATTCTACAATCACCAACGAAACGTGATAATCAGAGACAAGAATGTTTGGTCTCCACAAAAGAGAGAGAGAAATTTAAATCTCAAAAAGATTTCTTTTCCCTTCAGACTGTTTCACATCTATCCAATGACTTCCCAAATTTTCTAATGAAAGTAGGGATTTATAAAAGAAGCCCAGATAACCTGAAATACAACACTGAAAAGGCAGCTTGTCATGCACAATAGGAGACCCTGCTTACCTCTTCTTGAATGTACTGTAGTAAGAAAGGAGATGCTCTCAAGTTGTCAACTGGAATATTGAAAAAGCCCTGTATTTCCTTCTGATGCAAATCCATTGTAATAAGATGAGTTAGACCTTTAAAGAGATGGAATAAACTTCAGCTTAAATGTACTCCTCTCACAACTGTGACCAAATGTTCAAACCATGCTATTTTTAAGTTGCACTTGAACTAAAGTACACAATAGTCTGTATCCTATTTATACTGTATTCAATAATGCAATGCATTTTACCTTTTAACCAAAGGCCTCAGACCAAATCTAAAAAAAAACCCTAAAATTCTCTATGCCCCCCAGAAGTATTCATACCATTTAATATAAGTAGAAATGGAGGCAAAGGTTAAGTCACCTAATTTGCCCAAACTCAGAAGGTAGACAGTGATAGAGTTGAACCTGGAATCTGGGAATAGATTCCAATTATTCCCAGACTTCTTCCTTCAAAATGAGAATCAATACAACAGAATATCTATGAAGAGTTCTTTACATGATCCCACTTTCTGCATGGCTCAATGCCATAGGAAAGAAAACAGGAAAGTCTCTTATCCTCAGACAGCACATTAAAAGTAAATAGATAAAAGAGGGGAAGTGGCAAGTATAGTATCCTAAGAGAAAAGTATTGTAAAGAAGCTCAGCAGCAGTATTACAGCAGGGAAATCCCACCATCCAAAATAGTAAAAACCCCAGACTCATCTCGCCGTCACTTGGCACAAAAACTACCCGGGAGGTTATAAGTCTGCCCATTTTAAGGTAGTATTTCACTCACTGCTTTGAAATGCCTGCAACTTGCATTCCTTTTTCCTCTAATGGTTTTCAAATTTCCTCCTGATGAAAAAAATCTTGATACCTTTTTCTGATCAAAGTTCCTAGACTTGTGCAGAGCTGTCCAGAGGCTAAATGTGACATAAGCAGTGTCCCCTCCGCCCCACCTAAATTATTTTATAACATCTTGCAATCTTACCAGCTTTGCACATCATTGAAGCCAGTAGTTTAGAGACAATAGAGCCCCTCTTCCTCATCTTGCACTGCTTGCTGTATGGGAAGTAGGGAATCACTCCAATAATGCTTTTGGCACAGGAGGTTTTACAAGCATACACCATGATCAGGAGTTCCATGATCGTAGTATTCACATCCCTGGAATAAGAAGGGTCTAGTTTTGTACCCAGACACAGAAATCCTTTAACTAAATTTAACATCTGCTCTCAGGATTTAATTCCATCATGGCAGAAAAACGGCGCTTGAACTATCCCTGTCAGGAATGCAAGCATACACCCACTAGGAGGGCTACCGCTCTTGATGCATCATTTTAATTCCTCACAGGACAATGCTTTGTTATTTCTTCTCCTATTTTTGCTCATTCAACAGCCTCTTTGTTCAGAAAAAGATTTGCAGGACTCAATTAGTATAGCACACTGCTGTAAGAGGCTGCATTATTGTCCGTCTCCCATTAAAAAAAAAGAAAGAGGAAATATTGTCTACATGAAAGAAAAAAAAAGTCAGACCGATTCCTACAATACATTCCTCTATTACCCTGACCTACATAAACCCTTAAAATATATCCATTGCATCTACTCTCCTGCTCGAGAAGAAAAAGATCAAATTGAAAGTTTTAACCAGGAAGAACCGATTGGCTAAGTAAACTGGATGCATTATTCTGTTGCTGTCAGAAGAATGCATTTATATTTGTAGAGCCCTGATTATTGTGAAGAACATAACTGCTCAGTTGCCTTGAGACTCGAGGCCCATTTGTTTTGGAGAACTGTTTTCACATTTAAAAGCATTAAATGTTGCTGGGCTCAGGGAGCCAAGTCAGGACAAGAATGTAAAGAGAACATAATGAGGGACAGAATGCCCACGGCACAAGAATAAAGAGACCCAAATCAAAACCTGGACTCATCAGCATAGGAACAAAATGAGTGATCAGACTATGAGGTCCCCTACAAACACACTATTTTAACAATACAAACCACATCTTGCCCATTTCTGAATCTTTCACACTAGGTGTCAAAAATAAATTGTTATGGAAAAGCCAATGTTGACCAGCTGAAATATGTAGTTTCTTTAGGAGTTTAGTAGTTACTCACTTTGAAACAGTCTGGATGATAAAGACATCTTTTCCTCTCACAGACTCTTGAATCTGAACCCTTGTCTCTGCCAAGAAGAGAACAAAAAAATATATATAATACTCTAAGTTTTATAAAAACATACAACAGAACTGCATAGAATTACTGCAGAAAATCATCGCAAGTCCCAACCCCACACACAATTTCCTCATATTCAAACTGAAAGAGGGCAGTCACACTCATGACAATACGAAGGGAAAATTTATAGACTTGTATGCAATGAAATGCATAAACTCTCACAAAGACCAATAGGATTCTTTTAGTAAATCCCCATGTAAGGGCTGGAAAGCATGCTCTCTTCCAGTACAAAGGACAGACACTCCGGCCATAAGGAAGATTACTGTACCATGACAAGACTAGCATTTTATGAAAGAACAGTATCAAACTAATTGAAGAGGGGGATTACACTAGTGATTATGGTTTATGTAAGCAGGTCTTGAAAAGTGATAGTCTTTAAGAGGCAGATGGGTAAATGGGGCTGTACAGGAGTGTGAAAAACCACAAGCATGAGAAAGTGCCACCTCACTGTTCTCCAAGGCATGTCTGCATCGTCTCGGTGTTAGCCCCAGGAGCACCACTGTGAAATACAGCCTGCCTGCTGGCTCCATATGTGCTTAAAACAAGAGACCTTGTAGGTATAGAAGAGCAGCCCTGAATGCTCACCCAGAGCTACTCTTAGAGCAGCCTGAGTAGATCAAGACCAAGCTTAAAAGCTGCTATATTAGCTTTAGCTTGGACAGAGCAAGAGTGATTGGGCAGGGTATACTTCATGTAAAACACTCCTGGGCACAGCAGAGAGATGACGTAGCTATGTTTTAAGTAACAGATTCCGAGAAGAGGTTAGCTAATAGACCCTTTCCCACAGAGAAAGAGAGGTTTCTATTAAGTGCTCACCTCTGTTTGGCTCCTGGTAAACCTGAACTTTACCCATTTCTACTCCCAAGCGTCTGGGGAAAAAAGAAAGTCAGTATATTAAACTGAAGAGAATGGAGACAGAACAAGGAAGAAGTCCAATGCAAGGGCCATACCACGGTTTAAAAAGTCTACCCTTCACAGATAAAACTCCATATTTCACTGATGTTTTATTGCAAGATTTCCCTTACATTACATTGTTCTACAAGTTACTATCCAATTAAATCTACACTCTTCTGAAGCACAGAACAAACAAGAAAATAAAACCAGTGTCTTATGTAGTAAGTTTCTTATTATATACATGATATTATAGATGTGCATAATACTCTACAAGATTGAGCTCAGCTATTTCTTCTGGAAAAGAACTTTCCATTCTAGACTGGAAGCCATAAGAGATGGGAGGAAGAGCATTGATAAAATTGCAGTAAAATGGACAAGAGCAAATTAAATTATGGTTTAATAAGTGTCTTAATACAAGATGGACAATTAAGAGAGAGACTAACACGCACGATGCATAAATACCCCTTGTCCTAGCACTACATGACAATCAGCCAGTCTCTTAGCACACTTTTGTCATGTACTACGTCAATTCTAGCAAATGTCGCACAATTCTGAGAATAAATTAGTTATGTTTCTGTAAGCACTGTGCATGTCTATTGAGCCAATTGTTACACAGACATACATAAAAACACACCAGCTCTGCTAAAATTATTAGTGTGTTTTAACAACTAAAACACAACAAAAACAGCCACCTCCCAGACACTGAGAATAAAAGGGCAAAATTTGGTAACTGAAGCTATGAGAAAACTATAGATTTTCGCTAATGCATAGATAGGACTGGTCAACTCTTAGCTAAAGATGCTTACGTTTCTTAAGACATATGATTATAGCCATTTACAATCTACAACTGAAGAATCCAAGCATAAATTAAATAAAAAAAACAAAGTAAAAGAAAAGCATAAGAGTTACAAAATACCTTTTTAAAATTTAACTACAGTAACAATTTGATTTAACAGTAAGGTTCTGACACTGCCTGCCTATCCCTGTATGTTGTATTTTCAAATATGCAGACCCTAAACTGTAAATGAAGAGACACTGGTTAGAACCTGTTTTTGTAGGGGAGTTTTGGTAAAAACAAATGTTCTGGAATTTTTTTCCACTCCAGTTTTGAATACAACAAGTTTCAATGCCAACATCGTTTTGACATTTGTTTTGATGTTACTTTCACCATTTTTGCATTGTTTCATGACAACAGCATTATGACATTCCTGATGAACACCACTGGTATAGCATATAAAATGACTCAACTGCTGGCCTACAAATCACACCCAGTGTTGTGGGGCTGTGTCATCCGACCCATCACCCCCCTGCCCCACTACCTGATCTGAAAATGTGGCTTCCAGAGTTGCAACAAATAATGGTGCCACTGCTCCCCCCACTGCCAGGTTTCTGGACTCACAAGGAGTCCTTGGATGCAGGACTGAGCTGGCACTCAACTGGCTGGACCACACCTGCAGGCGGACCCCACATACTGACCCCCTGCTGATGTGTGCACTGGCCCCATGCCACTCATCTGACCCACAGGCCTGGAAGGCTGAGTACCACTACCCTATACTGTCAATATGTTTAAAAACCACAAGAGGCAGCTGCTACTTAGTATTGATTCAAACACCTTGTTTTCTGTGTGTCACCTATTTTAGCTGTAATGACTTGAAAGTGAAAAAAGAAGAGAAAAGCATCTTTCCTGCCCCCATCCCCTCCCCCATACCTTTGCTGACTGGTTATTGCAGGATAACCCAACAGATGCATTAAAAGATTTTAAAATTAAATATTTTAATTATTCTATTAAGTCACAAAAGCACTGCAAGTCACTAATCGTGCACGTGACATGACTAAAATCAAAATCTTCCCAACAAGCTCTACTTATTGCATACATGCTACCCCTAAGACGTAACCATTTCAATGTTACTGATATAAGGATAATGTGATCCAATAACAAATCGATACTAGCTGCTACCTCAAGCTTCATGGTTAACTCCTTTATTGTATGCACTGCTTTCTCTTTGGGGCATCCCTAATTAACAAGCTTAAACTATTAGATAAGCTATTTCTCAAGAGCTAAGAAAACAGACAAATATCTAAAATTATGAAGATTTAGTTGATTAAGAACAAATGTGACATTTGCCTACTTTGTAGGCAACTATATTTTTGCAAACAGCAGCAGTTTTACCAAGTCACTCGTCAAAACATTTCTTATCTTGATGAAGACTGATCTTTACTCCCTTGCCAGTAGCACCTAGATCCAAAATAAGACTAAAGGTAGCAAACACTTTAACGTGGTATTACTTACTCAGCAATCCTCTTCGATAGTTCCATGCATGAAGAATTCGAATTAGCTGAAAACAGCACGAGTCCGCCTTTTGTTATATTCATGGTGGCTCCTATTTCAGTTGAAGGCACACAGAACATCAAAACCTATGCTGTCTTCCCACTTTTAAAATACTGCAAAAGATTAAAAATAAAGCAGGTGGTGATGTTAAAAATAATACAATAAAGAGAAGAGCACTTCCTCTGAATGCGAGTTATGGCATAAATCATTGTCTTGATTCTCATACAGAATTCTTAATGTTTAATACTTTTTTTAGTTAACATCATTACAAAGATGAAATCCTTACAATACAATTTTGTGATATTTAAGTAGCTCTTTATTATCATTATAAAGACTTGGGCACTGAATAGAACATCTAGACACATAGGAGGAAGAACCCAAGTGAGGCCAGCTTCCCCACACCGCGCCCAGAGCCCAGGAGCAGCCTCCGTCACAAAGGCACCAAGAACAGGGTCTTCAAGCTCCTACTAGACCACATCATAATACTGACCTTTTTTTTTTTTTTTTTAAATTTTTTTTCTCAATTAAACACCTGATAACACAAGTTTTATGGTATTTTCTTTAGCTCGTCTAATTAACTTTGCCATTGGTTACTGATACAGGAGGATGGATAAATATTTAAGTGGCTCTTCCAAGACCACAGAGTACACTGGTATCGAGAATGATTAGAATGGAGGAGTCCACAACACCCTGCTAAACCCACCGGACCAGCCTGTTTACAGTACTGCTTTGTCTTCACATTGTTTTCCAATAAGTGATAAGTTTACAAACAAGCGTGGAACATAAAGGAAGAGTTCAATAAAGTGGCGGCAGTAAACTAAAGCCCTCTTCTACAAATGCATCCATGGGGTTGCCATTCATTCATACCCCAATGGACGCATCATTCTTTGACACAAGCGTCTCCTGTGGAAACAGAAGAGGCCAAACATTAGGAAGCAATTTAGACACTGCCTTTTTATGCAACAGACCCATACACCAAGTAAACCTACAAAGGTTCTCCAAAAGTTGTATTTCCACAGGTAGCATCACTTTTTCCGTGCCTCCCTTACACACGGTTTTGAACAGCCAAATTATGTTGTGCTGAAATAAAGCCACCAGCTTCACTAACAAAGCAACACAACACAGCAACTTGCTTTTTATTTCTCTATTGATATATAAAGCGTTCCTTTCCATATCAGTATTATCCACAGCTACCAACAGTGTAACTCAGAACTGGACAAACAACGAACGTTAATTTAAACCAGTGTCTCCAACCTTGGCACAAACATGGCCCAATCAAGGAGCACAAAGATATAAAATCCACTTTACGAGGGTGTGCTAAGACTTGTAAATACATCTATGGGAACAACCCCAACAGTCATACTTATGGGAGCAGTCACTGGAAAGACACCGGCTACATGAAAGCTGCTCTACCACCTCTGCAACTCACTCCCAGGCTTAATCATCTCGTCTAGCTTGCAGAAACAGAGAGTCTGGCTCATCAGCAGTTGAAAGCCACAAAGGATGGGTATTTCCTAGTCATTAAATTCTCCACGGAGCTACCCGTGGCTGCATTCGAGAGCCAAAAAGCTAGTTTACAAAGTGTTTCCCAACGTGGCACAAAAAAGAAAAGCGTGCCGACAGAAGCGAACAGGTGTGCCGGATCTCTGTCGAGGCAAGGAGCTGCGTACAATAGGTACGAGGATGGGGAATGCCTTAACAGGTGTGCTGCGGAAAAATTTCATTAATGTCAGCGTGCCCGGGGCTGGAAAAGGTTAGAAAAACCACTGGTTTACGATCCCAAAGGAGAGGTACAAGACTCCAGCAGCCTACCTCATCCATAACCTCTTGTCTACCTCAAGATAGATCACACCCCCGGTCTCTTTTGATCTGCGACCGCCGACAAGAAACAACTCAAGCGTCTGTGACTGATAAGACCAACGAATTTCAGAAGACTTCAGGGTCAGACGTCCTTTCCGGCACACCACTTATACGAAGGTGGAGACCGCCATCCCCACCCAACACAGTGGCGGCGGGGGGACGACGTCACGCGCTCCCCATTCGAAGACTTATCTGCGAGGGGGTTTTTGGCCCAAATAACACCTCCCTCTGCCCCCGAAACGGGTGTCATCGAGACCAACGCTGGCGCTCGCGTAAAACCCATCACAAGAGAGGCTCTGCTGGCGTGCCACGACCGTCCATCGAAAACGTGTCTCGGCAGCGCTACGTCCTGGCAGCGTAACTACACTGGCAGACGTCAGGGGCCGTTTCCAAGCCCGCTCCGTGGCATCCTCTCCCCCGGCCCTAATGTGCACCCGCCAGCCAGGAGCATCTATTTGTGGAGCCAGCCCGGGACAGGTGCGGGGCCCGCGGCGC